CTCCCCCAGCCTGGAGCTGCATGGGTTTCCTTACTGGTGTGAATTGCTTCCTTTATAGTACAGCTCAGGAAAGCTGTGTTCTTGCTTCTTGAGTTCTACAAGATCTTTCTTCTCAAGACACCCTTTGTGATGACTAAAAGTGTGTGTCAGCTGAAATGAACTTACTTCTTCTCATCTCAGAATGAAAATACTGTAACTGTATCCTCTGCCTTGAGCAGGACATTAGTGACTGCTCATGGTGGGATGTGGGGCATGAAGTCCCATTTAATATCTTCAACACCCAATCTGCACAGGCTTTTGTGTTCTAATCCTTAGATTTCCTGTGATCACCTTCATGGGTAATGTTGGGTCAGTTGCTTTGTGTTTCTGACCTGTAGGGTGTGGGAATAGTTGGGAAGTTGCTGAGTATTCTCATGTGTAAGCCAATACTGTCACGAGTTCCAGCAACATCAGAAGAGAACAGCTGGTGGTTTGTTTTATTTACCTTTGTATATTTTGTTTGCCTTGAGTGACCTTGTTTTTTCCTCTTTTTTTTCCCTCCCAGGTCTATAATTAGCAGAAGATTTTTCTGTATAGTTGGCACACTATACCTGTACCGGTGTATTACCATGTATGTGACTACACTCCCAGTTCCTGGCATGCATTTCAAGTGTTCTCCGAAGGTAACTCCTTCTGACTGCTTTGCCATGTTTTAATCTGTGTGTTGTCCTGCTCTTCTCAAAACTGTGACAAACACTTCCTCAATAATTGTTAGTAGTTGTTGCTAAGGGAGGGGATCCTCCCTCTCTGCTCTGGTAAGACCCACCTGGAGTATTGTGTACAGTTCTCTGGTGTCCCCAACATCAGAAGAACAGTTGGAGCAAGGCCAGAGGAGGCCATGAAGTTGCTTAAGGGTCTAAAGCACCTTCCCCATGAAGACAGGCTGAGAGAGTTGGGGCTGTTCAGGCTGGAGAAGTGAATATTGTGTGGAGACCTCAGAGCACCTTCCAGGATCTGAAGGGCCTAGAAAGAAGCCAGAGAGGGACTCTGCATCAGAAACTGTGCTGATGGGACAAGGGGTAATGGGTACAAATTGAAAGTGGGGGTTTAGATTAGATATTAGGTGAAATTCCTCCCTGCCAGGGTGGCACAGGTTGCCCAGGGAGGCTGTGGCTGCCCCAACCCTGGCAGTGTTCCAGACCTAGTTGGATGGGGCTTAGAGCAGCCTGGGCTAGTGGAATGTGTCCCTGCCTATGGCAGGGGGATGGAATGAGATGATCTTTAAGGTCCTTCCAACCCAAACCATTCTGTGATTCTAATTGGAGAACTCTGCTGCGGCATGACAGGGACATCCTCCTGCACTTCCCTCTCAGTGAAGGTGTTGACAGGTGCTTTGAGGCAGTGAAGAAATTCCCACCCTTTCCCAAGCACTGATCTACACAATTTCTGTGGCATTTGCAACTTATTTGCATGATCAGCATTTTTCTATCTCTGCTGAAGCAGTTGATGGTGTCACAACTGTCACACCTGTGGAGCAATCATGTGTGGTTCATTTATCTCTAACCACTTCAGTGTGCCAAATCCAAAAGAGATTTGTGTTTGAAAATGGCCCAAAGAGACTTTCCTAAGGCCGGTAGAGCTCTGTCTATATTTTTGCAGTTGTGTTAGCACCAGGACTTGTCACCTCCTCCCCAATCTAGCACTGACTCCTGTTTGTCGTGCCAAGGATTAACTGGGGTTGTGAAAGCCATGGCTGAAATCAGACTACAGGGAGAGAGGTGCTTGGGCAAGACCCTTCTGGTCAGCCTGGAAGGGTAATTCACATGCTTGGGGTGTAGATGGCACAGGGGTGTTGCCATTGCATCCAACTCATGTCACTCAAACAGTGGTGTAAGCCCTTGCTGAAATTCCCAGGGCTGATTGTGCTGTGACTTAATTTAAGCAGAAGGGGATAAAAAAGGACATTCTGTGAAATATCTTTGTGTGCAGAGCCGTAAATGAGGTGACAGGTAGGAAAATCCTGGTTTGACTTGGTCCACGTGCTGTCCTTGTTTCGGTGAGGTTTGGTACATCCAAACAGAGCCAAAATCTTTGGTTCCTTGGAGAAATCAAACCAATGAACATATTAACACCAGTTGCGTGCCAAGGTGGAGCCTTTGCGAAGCCACACGTGGCTTCTGGAGGGACCCAGGGCTTGTGGAAAGAAGAGCGAGTGGGAGAGGAGTCAACATTGTAGATGACCAGTCAGCTGTTATTAAACTAAAGCAGAAAGAAGACAGGTCTTTATGGCCTGAAGTGAATAAATCTGCCATTTGGGGCACTTTACAGTCTTGGCAAATCCTCCTCATTACTCAAGTAGAGAAGCTCATGTTGTCTCCTCTATGGCCCTGATAAGGCTTGAAAGCTATAAATATGCTGGTGGGGAAAGAATAACCTCTCAACACCTTGTTGAGTTATATATATGTGAAGAGTTGAGCTTTGGGGAGCATTTTAATGCGAGTAAGGAAGTGTTAGCAGGAAATACTTCATTCCTGCAAAAAACCTGCTTAAATCTGTCAGAAATTATTCATTTCTACTTTTTAAAGCAAGACTGAGCTTTAAAATGAAAGCAAAGTAAGTCTATAATGGGCAGTTAGGGGATCTATGTTTCCTTCTGCCTGTTAAATGGTTTCCCTGGATTTTACAACATCATAAAATGAGCTGAGGATGCAGCACACATGGAGTTGTGTACATTGATCTTTCTTTGAGCTCAGAT